CTCAGCTGGTGGCCGGCGGGGGAGTTTGCCCTGGGTGTGCCCCGTCGGACATGTCGTGCTTTATCCGCTCCCGTATCAGCGGGGTTCGCGGCGGGGTTCGTTCATAGCGCTGCTGAGGACGGTTCACAACGGGCTTTAAAAGATGAAAGCTGCCGCGAGCCAGCAAAGGGAGACGTGGTGAACGGGCTCACGGCCCTTCACCAACCCACTGCCCCCCTGCCCCAAATCAATTAATAAAAGCGCTAGGATCTCAAAATGAACTTCTTGTAGTTTTCACTTAACTCTTCCTCTCTTTTTTTTTTTTTTGGTCTTTAAAAATTGTTATTTGCTCTCCTTCACAGATTAAATATTTCTTGTGTAAATCTGAATCTTTCTATTCAAAAAGAGGAGGAAGGGAGGACGTTTCATTCAGCTTGGCGCATGCACCTTCTTTCTTTGCCTGTGGTGTGTAAACTCTGTGTTTGTGGATGTTCGCGTTCACTACCTCACACAAATGTTGACGGGGTAGTTTTCAATATTATTTTAGTGTAGCTGTGTGTTATTACTAGTAGTAGGCCGAGAGCGATTTCTCTTAGACTGAGATAATAATTAGGAAATTTGTTACATTTCTGAGGATTCGTTATATTACCTCCCCAGCGTTAATCCTCTGGTGAAAGTGCAGTATGTTCCTCACAGCACCTGCCTTAGAGTCCTACGTAAGTCCGTGCGTCCGTGATTGCTAAATGCAACGATACAGAACCTTTGGAGAGCTCGGCTCAGCATCTTAAGAGGGGTTTGTTTTGGGGGGAAGGCTCCAGCAAAAGGGAAACTGGGATTATTTACAAAAAGAACCTCGAACGTCCATGAAGACCTGTGCGCCTCCTCACTGAGGTTCAAGGACGGGGGTGAAAGCTGTTACGAGGAAGATTTAGGCTGGACAACAGAAAATATTTGGGAACAGTAAGGTTGGCAAAGTGAACATAATGAATGCTTTTGGACAGTGGTTATGTTAAAACTTGATTTTCAGGACTGCGAAACTCAAAATTCTCCTTTTTCGCTTTAGCGGGCCATTATGTCCAAGGACACGTTTCATTAAAGAGCAGAGTTTTCCTGCGTACTTTAGACCGCTGCCCACTTCCAAATGGCAGCATTTAGATTTTGGTCAAAATAGTCCTTTAGTAAATGAACTACACAGACGCATGTGTCCGGGAAGTATCTGATCACCTCAAGCTGCCAGCGATTCTGACCTGCAGCGTGATATTTCGTTGTTCAGCCTCATAAATTAGGTGATATATTTCTTCTACCTAGATCAGAATGCACGACAGCATTTCTGATGACGAGGAAGAGGAGGTAGCCAATATGGATATCTTTTTCGTTTAATGTCTTCCCAGACAGCGAAATTGTGAATCCTGTTTGTTTTTTGCAGCCTGTAGATGGGCTGCTAATACAATCCACGGAAACTCTGATATAATTGAGAGAAGGTGAAGCAATCGGTCTAGTCATATTTGAACACAGCCAGAGCTCAGTGTATGGATGGGATTATCAGGTCGTTCTTCAGTCGTTCTTTCCCAGGGCGTCAGAAGGGTAAAGGGGGATCCCTATATGCTATGTTCAGTGTAGGGATTTTAAACAATTCCTGTGCTATTTGCCTGTTGCACAAAATCAACGGTAACTGCATACGCCTTGAAGTGAAGTAGTCACGTGTGGTGGCTGGTACTTATTTTTCAGAGTCAAAATCCTGTTAGGATTAAGCTGAACTTCTTCTTTCTTCAGGATATTGTGGTTGTGGTTCGAGGGGAGGTTGTGGGTTTTTTTTTTTTTTTCGCTTGAAGATCAAGTTTTAGAAATGAAGGGGTTGTCGAAAGGGGAACACAACAAATGCTCTGTTGCAGTGTCTCCACAGGCTGTGTTTACCCAGTGTATCAGAAATAAAATAACCAGTTTCTGTAGCAGTGCTGGAGAAAATACAAGATTTTGTGTGTTGCTGTGAATACATCTGTATATCTCTGCATTTTTTCTCTTATCAGGTTTTGTGAAATTAGCAGGGCTTCTTTTGGCAACACTGGTTTCTTGGCACTTGGGATATTTTCTCAGTGCTTTGGTACCTGAGGAGGTGATATCAGCATCTATTACTAATCTTCAAGATATCGGAAAGAAACCAGTGATAAGGGGTATGTAGTTGCATTTCTTTTTTTTTCCCCTCATTTTACATGTAACGTTTTGTATTTGCATGTTGAGTGGCAAACAGCTTCTTAGCTAACAAATGATGTGCTGTTCTCCTAAGAATGAAGTTGACTGAATAAATTAATTAGTGTAAGCCTGAACTATTTCTTAGGCACTATCTTTGAAGAAACATAATGTCAGCATATATTTGCGCGTGTGCAAAAACATTTAATTAAGTAAGTGACTAATAAGTTAAGAACACCTTATTTGTTTGCTTGTATATAAGCAGAAATCTGCAAAGCTGCAGCACCGATCCTACTATATATATTTCACAGTTATAGTAAATTGTTGAGTCACTAATCAAACTTTGTGCTGAAATTTTCATTGTTGTTTTTTCCCCCTCTAATCTGACTGGATAGTTTAATGCATACATTTTTCTCATTCTGTAACTATGTTATCATGTGAAAAAGACTTAAAATGAGAATGCTGGCTATTAAATTTAAAGCAATTAATTAATAAATTAATTTTAAGTTTTAAGCAATGAAAAATAATGAAACAATGAAAAGTTTTGTATTGGTAGGAATTCTTTGTCCCTCTAGCCCTTGTTTCCTGTTATATGGGATAAAACTAATAATAATTAGTACGTATAAGTATTACTAATAATAATTAGTATGATCTGACTCACATCAAGAATATATGGGACATTTTTTCCCTAGATAAGCTTTGTCTTGGTCCCAGCAGCAATTTGAGAGTCAATGATACCTTAAAGCCCAGGCACATCTGTAATAATGTTACTACGATACTGGAAAATTGGCAGGGTTTACCTCTATAAAAATGTTTAAGCTTAATGTGTTGACATTAAGTGGTTCTTTCCGTGTAGAAATTGTTTATGTAGCATTCAAAAGAACAATTTCTCTTTTTTTTTTCCTGTTGTTGTAGCCCCAAACCCAAAAAGGCAGAAGTGTGATCACTGGTCTCCCTGCTCACCTGGGAGCTATGCCTATCGAGTTCTTAGCGGTGGTGGCAAGGAAAAGCTGGCTAAAATTTGTTTTGAGGATGAGCTGTAAGTACCAGTCTAACTTCAAATCTAAGCAAGTGCTTTGCAGTATGAGGAAGGGTGTTTCATAGCTCCTACCAGGTGAAAAAGGGATTCTTCAGTAAAAATATATGCAAAAAAAGGCTGCCATTGATAGCCTTTGATGTCTTCCCTTTTCAGTGCTAGTAAGCATGCCCTAGTTCCGAAGCCTCTTTGCAAGGAATGAGTTTTCCGTGCTATTTTCTTCTGCATTGCTGTGTCTCCATTTCCAACTGAGGAGTTTTTTTTTGTTTTATCCATCATGCCTCATGGATCCATCTTAAATGCAACTCCTTCCCTGCTTCCACTGTTCAAACAGCCTTTATGAAGATGATTCAAACTAAGACAATCTATCGCCATGGAACTCTGGCCAAAAATAAAGGCGTAAAAGAGATGGTGGTATAAGGGTGAAGATAGCTTAGAAAGGTAGTGGGTTTGAATATATTCTTATAAATGTACTTTTAAAAGCCCTCAATTTTTTTTCCTCTCTGATCCTTGTGTGTTCTCCGTTGGAGTAGCTCCTTGTCACAGAGATAACTGCAACAAGGCTATTTTCAGTGGAGAATGTGTTTTGCTCTCACCAGCACTCTAGTTTCTGTGCAATTTACCTGCCACTGTTTTTTCTCCAAACTATTTGTTTGGCTTTCTTTTGTTAGCTTTGACTGACTCAAAGGTTTTTTGTTGCTGCGTAGTGGTAATATGAGTGCTTGGAAGACATGCCCTCTGGGTCCTTTAAATGTAGATTGAAAGACTTTCAAACTGTTAATGTTTTACTGATGATAAATTTCAGAAAAAATCTGACCATGTTTATCCCATTTTTTAATACATCTCAAGTTATTTGCTTTGTTTCTCTACAAAAACTGCGTTAGACCCTAAGTTTCAAATATAGTTAGTTTAACTGTCATGGTTTGGGATAGCCAGCTTAAAAAGTTGTAAAAAGCTCTGACTGTGGAATGGGCAACACCTTCTGTAAGTCAGGTTCCTTCATGGTTTCTCAAACTGGACGGGTAGAATGTCTTCAGAATATTGAAACAATCTTTGCATAGATACAGTCCACGTAGAATACTTCCTCAGAACCACATTTTCTTTTGATATTCTCTATTTTGTCTTTCTGAGTGCATTTGTACAAAGTACCTTCCCAATCTGGCTCATTTTGCAAGACTCTTGTTTGTTACAGGCTCTTTGATTAAGTAAGTGAAGGAAGCATGAACACCAGGAAGTGCCTTAGCATAGATAAATACGACTTTGGTTGAGAGCTTCTGGAAGGTTAAATCCTACTGACATTGTATTTATTTCAATTTCAGGCTCATAAGTGAAGCAAAGGGTAATGTTGGAAGAGGTATAAACATTGCCATTGTGAACTGTAAGTAAGAGAATAAATGTTAGTTACACATTTGTACTGGAGTGACTTTTAAAAGGTTCGTTTTTTACTAGCTAGTATAGACGAAAAGGAGAAAGTTGCAAACTCAGATTCATGTTAAACTTAAGTATGAGTTAGTATTTGAAAGAAAAAGTCTCCTGGATGAACAAAAGAAACTTGTTCATAAGCAGTATAAGAGAATAGATAACGTGCACATAGAAGTTGTGTATGTTTATGTGGGTATGTGATGTTATTTTTTTAGACAAAAGTGTAACTACTTCTTATGTAACATGGGAAAAATACTGTGGCCTCCAGCAGTAAGACTCAATTTTCGGGTTCAGCCCTTCGTAAAACGTACTGCTCCACTGATAGAGGCAAGCAATAACTGAGAACTACAATTCTGCTTTTCTGCCCATCTTGCACTAAGGAAGGATTTGTGGAGACAAATTGCCGCAAGGTAAAAATTCCTTCTCCAGACTTGGTCAGTGGACAGAAAGACAGACTTGAAACTTGATTAATGTCAAACTGCCCTTATATTTCTTTGCTTATATCAGGAGCTATTGGAAAGCAGAAACTGCAATTTATTGAAAATCTGGAGGTACCATTTTGATTAGATGAGTGGGAATGGTAAAGTGCAGCATAGCTGATAATGGATCCTGAGGAAAACAAATACCTAAATGTTGGGAGGGAGGAGAAGAGAGGTGAGGTGCATGATCCGTTTGGCTTTGTTCACAAAATGTTTTTGTTCGGATTTCTTTGTCTCAGTATTGCTAAGCAAGATCTTAAACTTACCTAAACTTTTCTGCTTTTATTGAAGTCAGTGGGCTAAATTACACTAGCGAAGGATCTGTTCCTTTGTGTGTGTGTGTGTGCGTGTGTGTATTAACAACTGTATGCTCTTCACATTTCCAATAAGAAATCATAAAAACCTTACTGTCTGTAAGAGGTAAACAGTTAAAACTGAGTTTTGCATATACAGCTGTAAACTAAGAGGGTACATACTGACCCTGGATGTATAAGTAAGATTATATCAAATAGGAATAGGGAACAAGTATTATCTTTGCGTTTGATATTAGTGAGGAAAAGGAAATACTGTATCAGATTTTAGTGTTCACTTTTTTAAAAGGTTGAACAACCGTTTTCTTCATCACATATACAGTCATTTTAGCTACCTTACATCTTCACCTGCCACTAAATGTCTGTTATCTCTAACCAAATTACAGTGAAATGTATTTTCTGCATATCCTCTAATTAGATCAGTCTAGCTGATGACTGTGTTCAGTACATTACCTGTAGCATCACACTCATTTTATCCCATAATGGTAACTCTTCTCTGAATGAACATGGTCTTTTGTAGGGAAGAAGACAGGATTATTAAGACCAAACTAACAACTCACAGGGAGAGCGAAATAATGTTGTGTCTTTCTGTTGTCCTCAGTGAAGTCTTTCCAATTTTTTGTGCTCTCTGCTGAGAAGAAGCCCAGTTCTAGAGTGCGGTTTTACCGCTTCCAGATTTCACCACCTCTTTACCTCGTCAACCTGATAAACTTGGCATTTAGTCCTGTGTTTGGAAGAACTTGCCTCCATGATTTTGCCATGTATGGATCGAGGATAAGCCAGAAAAGGAACAGGAATTGCTGCATCTTCTCATTAGAAATGAACAGAAAGCATCTAAATGGAAAAGACCCTCTCACATGGAGGGTTATGTGTCTTGGATAACCAAAATCAGTTAGTTCAGTTAGCATGGATTTAGAAATCTGAAAAGTATTTTCAATCCTACGTGCCTTGTGAAAATGAAGATAGCCCAATCTCAACAGCAGCATAATTAACTATGAATATTGGCCAAAATGTTTTGAAATGACTAATGGTTTGAGTGCCCTATTTGCAATGTGGTAATGATGTCTCCGTGCCCAGTTTCTGTCCACCCTATCCATACAAGTGATATGAAAGTTGGCACATCTGAAATACTGTGCAGAATAGTAATAGGACCATTTAAATAGTCTCAAGCTTAACCCATTTTCCTGTTTATGGTTATGACTTAGTATAGTACATGCACAAATAAAAACATGGACATTCACAATAATCTGGATTCATTCATTAAGACAGAAAGTAATGAAGATGTTTTAATCACATTTGGTGACTCAGATCCAGTTTGCTGGGAGGCAAGCGACTTCATTTAATGAAAAGTATGTATTTGTTACCAATGTGATTTTATTTGACAGCTTTCAGGTCTGTCTCGTAATGATGAAAAAAACTGATTTATGAAGAATTTTCTTTATCTGATTGCTGTTGCAGGCAGAGACTACATGAAACAAAGTATTCTGACCTAAGCCTTAAACTTCTGTTCTTCCAAATTCCTTCCAATTTCAAAATTCAAACAAATGAAGCTCAGAAGCAAAATAAAACTAAACATTGGAGATGCCTAGGCTTTAGGCAAAACATTGTGTATGCTGATTAAATTTAATCATTTTTGCCTTATATTTACAAACCTTTTCTTTTAATTACAGATACAACAGGAGAAGCTATATCGACAAATTTTTTTGACATGTGGACTGGAGGTAGGGGAAAAAGGTGTAACAGAGCATTTGTTAACGCTTCAGTGTTCAGAAGGGACTTTAAATTTCCTGCTCTTTCAAATGACTATGATTGCCTTATCAAAGTGGATCCACTAGAAACAAACAAATATTGTCATTATTAAAATAGTCTGTAGCCAGGTCTGATGACAAACTTTGTCTAAAAAGCCACATTTCTCCTGTTGCTTGAGCTAGTTAACATTTATTGTAGGTAATTGTCACCTGTTTTCTCCATTATTTCAGTCTGGTTAGGATACCATGTCTCCAGATACCAGATCCAGATACTTTATTCAGCCAGTTCCCTTTTTTTGGATAGCTTTTGCACTGTTTCAGTGCTAAAGTCATCAGAGGCAGTATGCTAGCCTGCCTCTTAACATCCTTCAGTCTATCTAGAAAGGAGATCTGCCTTAAGAATACCTTTTAACATGTTTTGAGTACTTTGAACGATGCTGGTTTTCTTACTCATTAGTAAGGAAAACCAGAACGTTGTGAGATACTGAGAGCTGATTCTTTGACCACTTAGGAATGCTCATGGCCTTATGTGCGTGAATAAACCTGTTAATCACATGGGGGCTAATCATGTGGGTATAGTTTTATATACAGTACTTAAACTGTAAGTTCTCTAGAGCTTGCATTACAGATTTTTGTATGGTCAGTAAAAGCGTCTTATGTATGTCTCGCAATTGCAAAAGCAGCAAAAAAGCTTAGTGCTGCAGGTAGGCTGCCCTCTTAATAAAAATGGGTATGCAGTGTTGTGTATTAGTCAGCTCTTAAGTTAGCATAGTAGCAGGAAACTCCCAAAAATACATGTAGAGAATAGCAAGGACTTCTGCTGGGCTATTCCATGCTTTGCTTGTATGTATAATGTCATATGAGGTAAACATAAACTATACTTACAGTCTTGAGTCTAAATTTTTTTTTGAAGTTCAGAATAAATGCTTTTGTTTGCTGAGGACTGCAGATCAATCCGTGCTCTCATAGCCTTTCAGGATTATGCCCTCTGCCTCTGAATAGAAGTATTGCCTAATTATGTCTCTTTGAACAGACAAGGGCAAAAATTGAAAACAAGTTGAACGTAAGAGAAAGTAGGTGTCATGTGACACGTGTGTATGTCAAGGAGTAATGAATAATCAATTGTGTATTGTTTCAACAGACCACTCTGCAGAGATGATGGCTTTCATTAAAAATGCACCAGAAGGGTCACTGATTTTCATGGTGACCCATGATGATGGAAGCACCCGGTAAGCAAGTCATTCATGATGCACTGAAGAATAGAGCAATTAATAGCTTGAAAATCACAATTTGCAAAATACTATAACGCAACAAATTGTTTTGTTCTGTAGGGTTCTTCTCTCATTTCCTCTCTCAGAGGTTTTGAATCCAGGTCCATTCAGTGCTTGCTCATATCATACGTGACGAAGCTTTCAGAGATGAATAGATGGTCTTATATTTGTTTAAAAGCCACCTATTTGTCCTCATAAAGGGCTGTGATATTACCTCTGGATGGCAACTTTCTGTTGAGATGAGGTCCACAGCTCCAAGTAAAACATACCTACTTTGCATTCCTTCGCACACCTTAACCTGATTCTTTAAGTGCTTAGGATCTTAGGATCTTTTAGTTTGAATTCATGATAAGGTAATTCATGATCATGGTAAGGATTCATGATTATACAGGAAAGTCTAAATACATTTCATTGATAAACATTTCATGCTCTCATCCTTATTTAAAAAGAGATCAAATGTCAAATAGTATTTGAGATACCTTTTTGTTTCAGCTACAGTGTTGCAAACAGATTCTGTTAATATCAGGAATTTACAAAGGAAGAAAATGAGAAGGATTTTGCTTTGTGAATTTCATGGAGTGCTGCTAAGCTCTCAAGAGAGAGGAAGTTTTAGACTTCTCGTTGTTTCTGCTGCCGACCTCCTCTGTAAACCATAAATCAACTGTGTTCTTTTTCAGCTTTTCTTGCGTTCTGCGTTTTTAACAATTTTTTTTGTGCTAAATTTTCCTAGATTGAGGAATGATGCCAAAAAATTAGTAGAAGAGCTGGGAAGTAAAGAAATACAGAATATGAAGTTTAGGTCAAGCTGGGCCTTTATAGCTGCCAAAGGCTTCAAGCTACCAGACAATATCCAAAAAGAAAAGGTCAGGTTCATTCTATTTTCACTTTGTATTTGTCTGTATTTCAGGTATGGCTTTCAGGTACAGATTTAGTAGTGGAGCTAAAATAATTGTAGTCTATTTAGTAAGTCCCAGTTGTACAAAGCAAGTTCTCTAATGTGTTCTCATTCTTTGCTTTGGATCTGGGTCATGGACAATGCTAACTTTTACCACACCGGCACTAAATCATGTTGTGACTGCTTTTTCTTTCTACAGACGAATTTACAGAAGTGATCAGTGATTCTAGAGAGTCTCAATTTTGAAATGTCCAGCCTGACATACTGTACAGAGGCTTACATTTTCTTCCAGAAGGACAGTTCCAAGGGCTTCTAAAAATTCAAGGCTGCTTTTTCTGAAATTTGGGCTGTCTCATATTCGCTCTTCAAGCAAAGCAATGCCTGCATCACAAAGCTGTGTTGAATAATTTGCCCTCCAGCTTCAGGAGTATTAAAGATGCCATTTCTGTATCATATTTCTGTTTCCATCTGTGACTTTGTTTTATCTGTTTGATGTAAGTCCAGTAGTGCTCTTTCTGCATGACAGGGAGACAAACAGAAATGAAAAGATACAACTCAGAATTCTGTTCTGTTTATGATACTGAGTCTCTCCAAAGGCATGTGAAATTTCCATAGTTAATTTACCCCAGAATATTATTGCAATCTTCTTAGCATTACACAGCTTCTGTAGGCAAAAAGGTATCCAATTTAGTGTCTATTGTGACATCCATCTAGGAAATAAATAAAATATTGTATGTAAGAGAGAAACTGGTGGAGTCTTCACCCATTATGTCAAGCAAGATGCCTGACATCAAAACTCTTATCTTCTTAGTCTTACTCCATTTTTCCCCTTCTGTTATATGAGGTGTGACCTTTGTAAAAGGTAAACCAAATTTCTTTTTTTCTTTTTCTCTTTTTTTTTTTTTAATAGATAAACCATTCTGACAAGAACAACAGGTACAGTGGCTGGCCAGCTGAAATCCAGATAGAAGGCTGTATCCCAAGAAACCTGATCTGAACAAATGAATACCTTACTAATAAAGACAGTTTTATATTTTTATACATATGACTCTAGCAGGATGCCTCCTGAAACCTATAAGCCCTGAACACTTATTGTGAAATAAGTCATATGTACAGTTTTTAGGAATTCTTTCTTTACAGGTTTTACGCTGGTCTGAAAACAAATAGATATTGCAATGACAAGTGGAAATTAAATACTCTGGTTTGGAATTACAGTGTTCAGGAGATCAGTCATAAAACACCAGGATTATTGAAAGTGATTATATACTGTCATTAGTAATTCTAATTTCTGTTATTTGTTTGTTTTTACTGTGTGTTTTCTTCTGGTTGTCTTTAAAGACTAATAAAAGCATTTAATCTGAATTGTAATATAAAATCACTAGCAATAAATTATTTTGGTGTTAATATATTAGTAACTCTTCATCTCTTCAGAAAAAGTATGGAAATTGCTGTTATTTTTGTTGAGCTGTTGGTTTTGGTGATATAGCATCATGGAGTAACAATGTAAACATCCAAAGAGCAAGTTATTTGAATTATTTTACCAAATTTATGCTGCAAATCTACATCATTCTTTTCAATTATTTTCTCTTCTTGTAAGTTAAAAAAAAAGACTTCATGCAAGATTAAATGTGACCCATGCTAGCTGTAGAATCAAACACATGTTGGAAAGAAACAGTAGAGGTCATTTGTTCAAATTTCCTTTTTCTGAAGCAGATCAGATATGTACACACCTTTCTTAACTGGTATTTGTGTGTTGCCGTTTGTTATTCAGAAGCCTCCCAAAAAGCAGGTTACACAGCTTCTGTAAGTTGCTTCTTTAAGCATTTCACTGTTATTCTAGCTATTCCCCCAAACCTGAATCTCCTGTTGTAGACTAAGCCAATTATGAAGAGAATAACTGATCACCATTCTCTTTATGCTAGTCTGTTATGCATATGAAGACCATCCTCATCAGCTCTCTCATTCTTAGACTGAACCTACCTGATGTATTTTAATGATTATGCTTTTCTCAACATTAAAACATTTATTTAACATCAACTTTCTTAACGTGCTGTGCTTCAAATGGTTCACAGCATTTTGTGTCGCTGTTTACGGGTGTCCTCCACGCAAGACAGGGCAGGAGAAAATCAGAAGCAGTGGCCTGAGAGCGCGCTTGCTGACAGCCAGAGCCTTGGTCTGCTCTTGGTCTCTGTGTTGCCTGGTTGAAGGTGCCTCTGCAGTGCTCAGTTTTCCTACCCGGCTGGCACCCCCTGCTTGTAGGCACTGCTGTTCCCAGCAGCTTTCTGGTAGTTAGTCTCCCCTGGTCCTTAAAGCTCCATTTCCTGCTACCAGCTGGAGCACTGGTCCATAGCCCAGGGACACTGCCAAAGAAAGCAGTTAAATTAGTTTGACACAACTTGACTTTGGCAGACTCACAATGGCTGCTCCTTATCACCTTGCTACTGATTAGGTAGTTGCAAATTGAGCATTGAAATGCCTCTTTCCATATTTTTCCAGATCTAAGTCATGCTTCTGTTGTTTTTTTGCTGGTTCAGCTTATGAGCTTTGTAAATCAGGGGCTGCATTTTGGTGTTTTACACATCTAATAGTAAAAGCATTCCAACTGTGGTAACACATGCTGAATTTGTCCTCCTTCTTGAAACTTAGTGATTTGAATGGGAGGCCCAATGTTTGCTAGCAATTGCAGACTACTTAGCAGTTAAGAAAACTCTGCATCTCCTGCTGCATCTTACACGATCCCATGTGTTTTGTCAAGAGGAGAGTTGATCATAACAGCTTCTGTCTTTCACATGAGCCTGTGTTTGGATGGAGTTTTCTGGAGTGCCGAAGGTAAACTTGAGTGTTTATTCCTTGGGAGTTTTTCAATCAGTAGGTTCCAGCTGCTTTCCTATGCTTCCTAGGGATGTTACAGCATGGCAGCTAAATCAAATCTCTCCTGTGCTTCTGATAGAGAGGGTCTAGCTATTTGTATTTTAGCATTCCTCTCTGCCAGAGCAATACCAAGACACAGGGCTTGTGTATATTCATTTTCTTGAAGTATTTATCTTCATGTGCCCAATAATTTATTCAGGGAACGTTCCTGTTACTGGCTGAATGTTTGTTCCTTTACACTGTAATTGCTTCTGCATTACGTGTCTGAATTATAAAAATAGCATAATTACAGTAATAATGGTAGGCACTCCTTAGCATGCGAGGCACTGAGATAGCCCTGCAGCTCAGTGCAGTTTGGCAGTCATTGCCTACTACTGTAGACTAAATTAATCTTACATCAATTACAATTAATTTTACATCAAATTCTATTCAGCAGTTAACACAAAATGTACTACTACATTACCCTTGTGGGATAAAAAGCAAAATGCAAAGTACACCCTTAGCTCTGGCATTACCAAGCCTCAGCAGAATCGTACCTTACTGCTCCTTTGATTGTGGACCACCCTAGCCACCATCAAGAGCCCTCTTTAAGGAAGGGGTAATGGTGTTATACTGTTGTCCAAACAACTCTTCTTCCTAAGAAGTCTCTGGGCATTTGGTTCTGCACATAAAGCCAATGAACAACTATTCTGATGTAGCCAAGAACAGTGGCAATAATTACAGGAGTAATCCTTTGCATTATTAGCATTCTCACAGCCATATTCAGATTATACAGCTAGTGTGTGTTTTGGTTCTGTGTGGAGCATCTGTGTCAAGACATATTTTGTCCAGATTGTGTTACTATCCGTTTCTATTAACTGGCTCTCTTTTAATTTCTTAGCTATTTAGGTAGGAGCATCTGCTAAGTACATTGCCTATCACTGATTTAGAAAGTGAGCATCATCTCAGGCCACTTGTGCCTTGCCTAATAATTCCAAAAGAAGATTTTTGATGCCGTCACTTCCAGACAGCTGGGATTTGTTTGTTAGCATGTCACCATAAAGCAGCTTCCCAGAACTCCATTCTTTACCAATGGGCAACAGGAAAAGGTGCATACTATTGTCTAAGTCACAGATCAAACTGCACGAGAATCCCTGAGAAATATTCTTTAATTAATTCCATTGCATATGCATTTTCCAAAATGTAGTTGAGTGGGCTAGACTAAGTGTTAGTAATACGCAGTGCTGAGTAGCAATCAATCAATATCTGCTTTATTTTCCATTGCTACTGCCACAGTGTTTAAATATGGGAGGCAGAGGAATATCAAGTACTTTGATACCTCTCTGATCTCGAAAAGTCACAAAAAAGTGATCTCTTGAGTAAAAGGGTGCCACTTTTCCAAATGTTTTCCAAGTAGAAGCAATCTTACAGAGAGCTGGTTTGAAAATGGAATTTCAATTTCGCACACAGTTTGAGCACTTTTGAAAGAACTGCCTTTTAAACTGGAATAAAAAGCATTTTTTTGGAACTGTAATTTTGAAAAATTAATCTGGGAAATGTTTTTGAATTTAAAAAATCAAAAGAACATGAAATTAAACATTTAGATTTCATTTAGGGTGAGGCCATAGGGTTTAGGAGCTCTTATGCAGATATCCTTACATTCTCTGTCATATGATCTAGACCACAAGCAAGCTTCAGCCCCCAAGGTTAATGCTGTATATGCCACATAATGCTGTCTGTGTCACGTAATGCTGTCAACCACAAAAGCAGCAGGTAGGAAGCAATTTGCTGTGCTCTCCTTGGTCAGGTAAGTGCTGTAGTCTTCATCACACTTCACAAAATACTTCTAGAACAGAATGCAGTATCACCAACAAGAAATGAGACTAAAACCTTTAGGGGAGGTTGATCTTTTTCTGAATCACAACGCACAAATCCAATGGGAAAACATGAGCTTTAGGTGGCAGCATTACTCTCGGCTTGTTTTTCTATATTCAAAAGGAAAATACCGCAGCAGGTGGCAGCAGTGTCTTTCCAGACCCTGGTATATCTGTCTGTAGAAGTAACAAGAGCTCTTGCTGAATGCCTAATAAAATCAATCGATGCTTGCTCTGGTCACAGTGCAATTTCACCTACAGCTGGGAAGCAAGCCAGAAGCTTTGCCTGTAATTTGCTAGATCTTGATTTCCTGCACTTTGCCAGTAGCAAGCTCTCATTGCCTTTTAATTGCCTCTACAAAGGCATGAGGATGATTATCTTTCAAGAGCGCTCTGTGTATCACTAATGAGTACTGGACTTGGTACCATGTCAATGCTTGAAGTCTCAATAGATCACCTTGTTCACTAGAAAAAACAATTAGCCCGTGCTACTGCTTTTGCTGAATTCAGGGGGAAAAAAGAGGATTATTTAGATAATTAAGAAGACTTGTGCTGGAGTACATTTATGAATGACAGTTTAGCTGCTAGTTATAGAAATGCTGGTTCGATTGGAGCTCTGGTGGTCTAGTGTTGTGCTCAGAGCAAGATCGTCACCACCAGTGGTCCACTCACCTCTGGCTTTGTCTTCTGAGTGTCAAAATCCTCCAAAGATGGAGATAGTGCAAGCTCCCAGGGTGAGCTGTTCCAGTACAGCTAAAACCTCTTGGTTAGGAATTATTTCCTAATGTTCAACCTGAACCTCCCAAACTGCACTTTGTGGCTGTTATCTCTTACTATACTGTGTGGCACTACTGAGAAAAGTTTGACTCCAAAACCTTTGTCATCTCCATTCAAGTAACGGTGGGCAGTTTTTAGATCACCCCTTCACCTCCTCTTTACTAGACCAAAAAGCCTAGCTCCCTCAGCCTCTCCTTGCGGGTTCTGTGCTCTTGGCCTCTGGCAAGCCTGGGCCCCCTTCTCTGGACCCTCTCCCAATGGCTACTGAACTGTCAGGGGTTGGGAAGCATCACACTGCTTTATGCCATACTAGATTCATGTTCAAATATCTCTACAAATATCTGCCTGTTGTTCAGTGACGTTCTTCACAAGAAGGGTTCAAACAGGGCCCTCATATCCCCGGACCATTTAGAGAAACATTTTAGATAGACAGAAGCAAATAGAAAAAATAACTATCATTTCCACTTCTCCCTCCAGTGGAAACATGACACAACCAATCCTACAATGAAGGGAGTACCTGGACAGAGGCTCTTTTTTATCTCTTCACTTAAGAGAACGAAAAGTGTTTCAAGGTCTTGACATGCCCCTTAAAACTTCCTGATGGATCCTTTGCAGTCCAATTTGATGGCAGCAGTAGGAAATATTGATCAAGCAATAGGTAAAACTATTAATACTTTCCATGTCTCAGTGGTCAGTAGCTATTACTTTTAAGTTCTTTGTGTAAAGTCATCTGTCTCAAAGTAGGAGGTTTCCACAATTTGAAAAAGAAAAGTATAAGAAAGGAAAAGTTCTTCAGCAGTGAAAGGATACAGTCTGTTGCTCTTCCATAGTCTG